CATATTAGAATGAAGGAGACGGGCACATTCAATCAATACAAACGAGTGCTCCAAACTTCAATAATTTAACCTTCCTTATCTTTAACTCATCTATAAAATACATTTTGTTTCTTTGAAAGAGTGCTTTCTACACACAGATTAGGAACATTGGTGCAATCAACAGCATCACCAACAAATAAATGCCCTTTTTTCTGGATTTCACTACAGAAATAAATTTTTATTGCTAACAGAAATTTTATAGTTTTCAAAGAATTTTCACACAACAAAAATACAAAAAGTACACAATCTCTTAATGTTCCCTGAGCAGAGTTGATTTGATCTTGGTGCAAATACAGTCAGTCAGTATATCAGATAAAACAGTGGACTCAAGCTATTATTTAAGCCTGTGAAAACACAGATATACTTGTATATGTAGTTGAAAAACCAGTTCTTCAAAAAATAACCAATTGTGTTTATTATTACTTCCAAAATATAATGCACAGAAATTTTTAACAGACTTGAAGGATAATGTAGTGGAATTTGAAATTTAAGCTTTTGTCAAGAAGATTGGCTTTTATTATTCTTTCTTCACATTATTTCTAATAATGAAAAGGAGACATTATTTTTTTTAAAAGTTGCAGCTCTGTTTTTAGTTCCTAGTATTTAGGGTGGTTTTCTCACTTTCTTTACTTCCATGACATTTCAGTACTTGTTTGTGAAGAACATGAAAACAAATAAAAGGAATCTATAGGCTGGGTCACCTTCTCAGGATTCTATAAAAGTAAGATCCTCCCAGGTGTGAGCACCTTGGAATCCTTGGAAGGAGTTTATGTACAGAAAAAAATACACTCACTAAAGCAGACCAGACTTCTGTGGTCCATTTCTCTGTGGTTTAGCTCGAACATAAGATTATTTAGTGAAGCAGTGCAATAACACACTTTTTCAAAGAAAACCACCTTGAGGATATATAATAGAATTAATTTGTCAGTCTGGTAATTTCAGAAGAAATAGTGCAAATTTTTTGGAAGACAGAGAACCTAGTGCTTATAATTCTGTTTTGAACATAAAAATCAAAGGCAGCACAGGGTTTGGATAATGATGTTTCTGGATCTTCTGTTTGCAAAATCCACTTTAATTAGTGGCAGTTTTATGAAGGGAATGCCAGACAGGTATTTGCCATAGGGTGCTTTGGAAAAAACACAAACTGAACTATAGACGGATATATATAATTAGGGTTCAACAATAAAAATGCAGTCATGCAGTACCTTCTATCAAAATGTAAG